CGTAAATGGGGGTAACAGAGTGCTCGGTCGAAGGCTAGGGTTGATAAAGGGTCATGAGGATAGACTCCCATTAAATTCATGAATATTAAATACTAAATAAATATTATCAATAATCGACTCAGCAGTCGATTGGCCCGCTGCACTGATCAGCAAGGAGTGATGTAGATCACAAACCTACATAATAGTCCCTGTTTGATTAAATTGTAACTGGCCAGTTTGATAATTACGAACATCTTTGGGGAGTCTGGTGATCCAAAATAAATAAATAAAATTATCAAGGCTAGGTCATCCCGAGACTTTGTAGTTTCAAAATGTGGCAAACCACCAAAGCTTACAATCGACTCTCTCACTCTCTCTCAAACCGTTAATTATTGTGCACAAAATGTAACTGCATTGTTTATGTTTAATTTGTATCACAGCTCAATTCTGATTCATTATACAGTGTTATTACAAAAATCCATCTTATCATTATCCTGTGTTTTAGCTTATATTATTAATATTATACTGGTAAATTTAAGAGTATTGGTTTAACTGAAGAAGTATACAAAGTATACACAATGAGTGTTGATGATCACATTTTTTAATATCAAGTTGGTGAATTCATGAATAATCGGCTTAACCGAAATCCAGTGTATACAAACATCTTGAAGTCATACTTTGATAAATAGTTTCTGAACAAACAGTTTCATAAATATTTTCAATCAATATTTCAATATTATTATTTGCAATTTTACAGTTTTACAGAGTATCAATTCATATCACAATCTTTCATCAGAACAGCACATTTTAATTCATGGAGTGTTCAAATAGACACATCTATTAGTTTTAAGAAGTGTTAGAATTAAGCTGAAGAAGGTGTGAAGGAGGACAACATATCAGACCTCTCACGGTCCATAAATCGGACTTCTGGGATATTTAATTACAGGGCCCACACTTAACATCTTTATTTCCACTGCGCAGCTCTGTGATTGTAATGTCCTCAGTAGTTCAATTAAAAGTGTAAATTAAATTCATTAAAACCCCACCAGGGGGCAACTTTTTGTTATACTCACACCTGTATGGAATAGCCAAATTGCATTACATAAAGGTGTGAGGTGATTTTGATTGATGGAATGATCAATTAAGTAAAGAGTATATTTTGAATAAGTAATAGTAAATAATTGAATAGTAATATAATTTATACCTATTTAACATATAAGCTGTTTCACACCATTCATTTGCTAGCCCACATTTTTTCTTATAGCCTAATTAATTTTTTACCAAGAAAGATTTATGATAAAATGAAGTCTATTTTATGAGTGATCTTGAAAAAATATTGGTTATATGTGAGGTTTAGAAAGCAAAGACATTCACATTTCAAGACAATTTATTAATATAATAAATACAATGCCCACTATCTTCCACTTGACCTTCAACTTCTTTTCTGAACCCATCAACCCCACCGCCTGCTTCAGAAGATCTATAAAAAATACAATTGCATTAGAATTATTTGGTTTATTAAAATTTATCATTTAAATCATTTTTCATTATTTTTATTTGTTATTATAATTATTTGATTATTTGGAATTTGTTGGTGTTGCAATATCAGGGTGTTAACTTACCTTTGTTTTTAAAATTGTTATCAAACTTGTATTTCTTACTATTTTACTTTTATACGTAAACTAATGGTTTGGCCTGTTTTTATCTGTAGACTAGGTTAAGACATTGACTATAATGGTTAAGGACGTTAAGGTTAAACACAAATTTTGGCACTGTTCTGTTGAGTTCAGCAGTAGACTATTAGAGTATAGTATAGTGAGTGACGTTGTCGATTCAGTGAAGCGCTGAGTAGTTTAGGCTATAAACAAAATTCTAAGGGTTCTTGATGCAATGAAATTAATTGTGTGCTTAACTTAGCTTACTTATATCATCATAGACTAACCAACACAAGTATATTTTTTATCAATGGAGTTTAAATCTTACCTTTACAGGAATTTCTTAATTCTTCTTTGCTTCGTCTTGGTATCAACACCATAAACAAAACTCACAACTAGTAAAGAAACGAGTAACTCACAACACCAGAACTAGATAAGTGAGAACTGACAACTGAGAGTGAGGAAGTCTAAATCCAACAAAAATGGTGGTTCAGCACAAAGAAACAGGTTTTAGGAGCGTTCTGGGTAGGGGTGGAGGGAAAATTCTTTTGTCATATGGCACTGCTCACTTTAGACTCACATGAACAAGCTTGTCGTGGGTCTGGTTAGGTGTTTAAATTGCGGACTTGGCCAACCAGGTTATATATGTAAATAAAACAAGTTTAGTTTTGGCGCATTCACACAAGTTCACTTAACCAAAGCTGTTTTAAATTTGTAGTGGGTTCCAAACTCCAAGTTTGTCATACCAATTCAGAAATATGTAAAAACCAAGTTTGGTCCAAGCTCACGTGCTGTCTGGGTTATAAAAAATAGTATAAGTAGTAAAGATATGCCTATTTTAGCTGACTCAGAGAATCATCTCTTTTCCCCTTGTTTTAGAATATTTATCTGTCTATTTTTGAACAACTGTTTTTTCCAATGGAAATGATGCAGCACAAAAAGTTTTTCAGTAGCATGCTTTCATGAAGAAAAAAGGTTGAAAATCAAACTCTGGTCATAATGTTGTCAACTGGCTTAATGTTGTTATTGAATTCAAATTAACCTCTGAAGATCTTAGACCAAAACTCAAAATAGTTTTAAAATGCAATAGAGTAATTAGTACAAATACAATACAGTGGGGTTCTCAACCTTTTTTGCTACAAAACCCCCTGAATTTTTCTCACTCTCCCCATTAAGCTTATGCATATTTAGTTGCAGCATTCTAATCTCCCTGTCTCATTAGGTAATTATACTCTATTTTCCAATTTAAGTTTTTATATGGCTACTCAATCTCAGATTAATTATATATTTTAGCCCTTTTTATTTTATTTTTACTTACTATTTTATTTTTCTAGGAGCACTCATGCCCCCCTAAAATCCTTACAAACCCCCCAGTTTGAAAACCGCTGCCATACAGCTTGTACTAAGTTTATAAATTATGAAAACAGCCTAAAGAAGTCTTTTGGGCGCACGCAAAAACTGGTCAAGTTTAGGTGAGGGGGTTGGCAGTGGGTACTTTTGTGAAAACATTTTACAAATTTGTCTTGCTACTCAGCGTGACTTACTGACCCCCAGCTCCGCCAGTAACTGGCTCCCATATGTTTTAGTTCGGCTAGTAGCGACTCGTCCGTGTGCACAAAAGTTTTGGCCGAATTGTAAGCGTGAGGGGATGAACTACATATTAATTTTATTAGCAAAGGTGGAATGTACTAAGAAAATCACAAGCTATTTTAGAGTGGTATGATAGCCTTTTTGCCGCCCGTCTGTGCTCGGAAAGTGCTTGGCAGGTTTTTGCCACATCCACTTGACTGTTCTTTCTGATTGGTTTAGTGTGCTGCATACACTATTTGTCAACCCATATACAGCTTGTGACATCTAAGCTGGCACTTGGCCTAGCACAGGCAGTGTAGGCGGGAGAAGGGTGGAGGTAGGGAAAAGCAATGCAAACATTTCCACTGCCTCACGGTTTTGACTCCCCTTGTTTTATGTACTTGAGCGCCTTCATATGGGTCGCGAGGACAGTTGATGCAACCCATATAAATGGACATAATGTTTTTGAACTAGATACTAGTAGCGATAGGAGCTGTACCTGCATACATCTCCGCTACTCATGTCTATTGCAGTTTGCAGAGCGAAGCAACTGTGGCTTGGTGAACAAGTACTGTTTTGTCTTATATTTCTAAGTTAGGCCCTACAGCAGTGGTGGGTTTACTTTTTAACTAAAAGTGGTTTAAAATACCTGTGTTATCAGTAATCCAATTGGTTGCTGTGGCAACTAGATTCGGCTCGCAATGGAGCCATAACGTTTTTACTGTTACACGTCTACTGCCCGGCCATATGCTGTGCGAAGCCATAAATGTGTAAGGACATACATTTTGTTAGATGATACAAAATACGTAGATGAACAATAACCTCCCTTAACACGTTCGCTACCGAGCGACGCACATTTGCGTTGGTCCGGTCACTCCTACAGACCAAAAGGAATGATCATGACGTTGCTTACAGACCAAGTGATATAGGAATAACATTGCCGACAGACCAAACGAGAAATATCGTTTAAATGGACTAATTGACTTCATATTAACCTTAAGTGAATTAGTAAGCAATAAATATTGTTTTTATTTATCGTTTTGAGCAAATTTTAAAACGCCGCATATATGCGTCGGTCAGTCTATTTAATGAAATCCAGTTAAAAAGATTACATTTTTGTTTCAATAGACCAGGCGACGCACGTAAGCGTCGTTTTAAATTTGGTTGTTTCAAGCTTTTACACAAACAAATAAAGAAACTCCACTAAACACAAGCCAAAACTGCAAAGGTTATAACGTTTACATCTGTTCTGTGATGTCGGGGAATACACAATGTAAACAACAATGTTGCCAACTGTTGTGTGGCGTAATCAATCGTCATATCCACAGACCAAGCGACGCACATTTGCGACAGATATCCCTCTAGACCGATACGATATAATCACTAATCAGGGCTTTCAAATAGACCGTTGCTAAGTAATACGCTGATTATTAACATTGAACACCGACGCAACTGTGTGTCGTTAGTCTATTTCAACGTGACCAGCTGACGCAAATATGCGTCGGTGGTTTAGTGTGAGAAACGAGTCGATGCACAATTGTCTATGCGAACGTAAATTCCATATAATTGTGGAACGTGTTAAGTCAAAATTTGACATCAGTGGTTACAATGGTTTTCTGTTGACCACACAGCTGAAAAACATGACAAAATAGAAAACACTGCATGAAAAGATTGTTAAATGTTTTCCCATTAATTTTATTTCCCAAAATTGGAAAAGGAGGAATAGGAGGCTGAACGCTTCAAAACAGGCAAACAAATTAATAAGAACAAAAAAGCAATTTGAATTAAAAGCTTAAGTTTATTATTTCCTACACATATACAGAAACCTGCTAGTACACAAATAATACTCCTGACTTATATTTCTTACATAAAATTTTTTATTACTCAACATGATCTAATCTTTTGTGCCTATTGATAACATATAGAGTTTAAGAGATCATATGAAATATTAAATCTACTTTGCAGAATCTTAAACATTAGATGATAATACAGTAGTCTGATATTATTTACACGGTTATCAATACATGGCAAAAATTAAATATGAGTTAGTAAACAGGAATACAAGGTAAAAGGAAAAAGTACTAAGGAACCTCTAAATTATCTTCGTACAACTTCTACAAAGAAACCTAAACAATTAAATAAACACGATAAACCTTCCTAATAAAACCAATCATGATCAAGTTAGATTCGAATAGTCATCAAAACTTGAGGAAATAAGTTAATTGATCATAGACAAAACTGAAATTGTTTCATGAAAGGTGATGTTTTTTTAGCACCACAAAAATATCAAATAAATTATACCACAATAACTAAACAAAACGGTATTTTAAATTAATGTTAAATATCACACACTTCATTCTCTGTACAGTTAAAATAATCTATATAGTACAATGATTGAGTCAGTCAGGTATATTAAACTCCTTACATAAATCGCTATATAAAAATAAATTTAATTTCATGCATAAAACTATACAAAATCAACTAAAAATAAATCAAACTTTTTGTACAATCTGAAACCATTGTGATTGAGCAATCTTTAGTAAAATACTCAATTAAAAGAGTTTTGAGGAAATATGTAAGAATAGGTACAGGAGCATACCTAACCTAAAATATTGCTTTGGCTCATAACGGTGAGAACGGACAATAATGTATAATGATTTGTGTTTACTTGTGATAAGTATACATTAACCCTTCCCGGACGCGTGTGGTCACGTGGTTTAAGACGATAAAAAATCGGAACACCAAAAATTATGCAGAAATATTTGCCACCCGTCTATAAAATTTTACAATAGGTCAAAAATAAATAAGTCTTCACTATATTTTGTTGGACAATATTTTTATTTAAAAAAGGACATTATAGGGTAAGTTACAACTAGATTTATGCTCTGGAAAATGATCTGCATAAAAATGTGTTTAGTACAAAACGGGCAATAACTTCCCTGTACTGGAAAATAGTGTGAACCAGCTGCTAATGTACCAACACTAACCAGTGTGTCTACAGAAACGTAAATATCAACATCCCGTTTGCAACATTGAGAAACGTTATGCAAATATATCCGTCACCTATTCATTAACAACGAAAAAGCGGATTATCTGTCGCCTGCCCAGGAAGGGTTAAAAAACACAATTACCAAACCTACAAAATAGTGTGTATCATGCATAAATAAAAAATAATTTAACAGGTACCAATGTTGAAATGTGTATGGTTTACAATTTTCAAGTATACATTCATTCATTCTTGATGGCTAGGATCACGCAATACTTTAAATACATTTACAGATCAACTTCAACCGTTAAGTTAAAAACTTCAAACCTTATTCTAACAATTTGCTAAACTTCTCAACAAACGTACACACAGCTTTGCAGCATGAGTAAATCCATTTGCTAAAAAATATTTCCAATCTCAGACAAATTAAAAAGTTGAAAAATTTTCAATTGCAGCATATCAGTGACAGCAAGCGAAAACTAGAGGCCAATTAATTACACCACAAATCATTTAGTTTGAAAATAATCCTAACATTAACATGGTGGGTTACTATAGTCATAGTTGCACAAGTAGTGAGTGAGACGGAAGAACAAGTTACTTAGGTAACTAACAATCATCGTAGCCGACGACGGTTCAAGGTTTGGGAGTGGGGACTACTACGATGGCTGAATGCTGGCTGTTAGGTTTGGTCTTCCGTAAAACAATTATCTCCTTCACTTTTGTCGATGTCTTCTTAACGTTGGCCAATCGCATCTATAAAACACAAGATTTTAGAAAGTCGTGATTTAAATGTCGTTTTACCTTTTACCCTCTGCAGATTTTACAGTTTACATTTTACAGTCGACAATGTTGAGTGGAATCTCTTGAATTCTTTATTCATTCAGATGACAGTAAATGTTTAGAATTACCAAAAACATTTGAATAAAGAAAGCCATTTCTGATAAAAGTGTATTTATCTAGTAAACTAAAGAAGAAGATTAATATAAAACATAAAGTCAGATGATGATAAATGCGGTCAAAATCTTTTGCTGAGGAGTGTTAAAGAAAAGCTTCACAAAACTCATATTTTGAGCTGTCTACCAACCTAAGAACAACCCAAAACCACTTTTAGGTAACACTCAAAGCATAAGCCATCATTTATACAATTTTTGTAGAATTAATTTAAACTGTGAAACTAAACCAAGTCTTACGATGAAAAAAATGTCAATAAGATTTCTGCCTGATGCATACAACACTGACTGGAGATTTATCATGCTAGGGGAGGGAAGGGCATGCTTACATGCACTCACCCTTCTCCTTATTATCTGTACAGCTGCAAAAAAACATCCCCATATCACTAGTGCAGCAGCGAATGATATATCAAAATTCAACTCAGGTCAGAATTACTTGTATTTTTTTTATTTTAACTTGAGAAGGAGATCAATATTAAAATTATTTTCAAAATATGACAAAAAAAGAACTGTTAGAAAAATGTTTAACTGTCAATACTTTATGTGAACATTTTGTTTACTATTTAAAAAAGTATTTGGGGAAATTTCATCATTGGATGCTTTTAAAGGCAGCCTCGAGTTATTTAAGAAAGTTTTTTAAGAAAAAAAAATAAAGAAAACTTTAGTGTGTAAACGGGTGGTACTTTTTTTATATAGGTAGACAAAGAATGTCACAGGTTTATTATATATCAACTTCTGATTTAAATTTTACTGCAACACTCTTGGCTGTTTTACTGTAAATAAATGAAACTCTAGAATTGTTAAATATCGAATTTTGCTTATCAAAAGTAATGTTAAAAAAAAGTTATGATCTTATCTCAAACTACTTTTGACGTTTAAATAAAAGTTGCATTCAAAATATTAAGACACCACTGTTGTTCCAAGAGATTTGCCGAAACAAAACTTTTTACATTGAACGTTAAGAAATTAATTCTGGAAAAATGAGTTTTGATGGTTCGAAACTGGACCCAGCCTTAATGAAATGGGCTTTTCATAAATGGCCCTACCTAATGAAACAGCTGGCCTTAGTCAGTGACAAAGCTACACAGATCATCTCACACCATTATACACTCATATTTGGGTTGAAATACCACGGTTGCATACACATTTCAATTAGTAATCTAATCCACATTTTAGGGATGAACGATATTTGATTGTTTGAGACGAGACAGGATTTTTTATTTCTCATACAATTTCGAGACGAGATCTAGTTGGGATTACCCTTCTCATACATAACGGGAAATGCAAGTTCCACATTTTAACCTGATTCTTCAACATTTTTAAATACGTAACGATTTATGACGGACTGTTTAAATACAAAAATAATCATAATAGACAAAGATAATTAAAATCTTTTATTAAAAAACAATAATAAAACACATCAGTAAAAAAAAACCAATATAAATAAGGCCTAACTTATTAAAAATAACACTTCGGCATACAAAACATGGAGATATCAGTTAGAATATAGTTCAACTTTCAAAAATACCAAATTTATAAGTCTAAAACAACAGTCTTACCAGTAAAGTATCAATTACAAATTGTTCAGTGTTGTGTTATTTTTAGAATGATTTTGGAGTGACTCATTTTGGCTAAGTTTACAGTGGCAAAACATGTCTCACTTCTTGAAACACTAACAAAACTTCTCATCATTTGCTATATAAAAAAATTATAAAACAATTGAAGCATTATTTCCATGTAAAGATAATTAAATAAAAACGCCTTCGCAAAGGAAATGCAACATCAACACGCTCCTGTTTTGCAGGTATTGCATTGACTTTCTGCAGGGGTTTTTTTCTTTATAATCTCGTCTCGAAAAAATTTTGACCAAAATAGAATCTTGTCTCATAGAACGAGATTTAAAATTTCCAGAAAAATTTCCGAAATCTCAAGACCCGTCCCGTCCCTTCTACATTTGTTTTAGACAATCCAGAGATGAGAATAACTATCATTTATTTGAGTTGACTTATCATTTAGGACTTAAAAATGAAGACATTTTATCATCCAACAGCATCAGGTGAGCCGAGATAGCAGTTTAGTAGCAGAGACAAAATTCTAGAAAGTAACAAACAACAATAACTAACCAATCTCATCCTCAGCCTCTTGGGAAGATCTTCGTCCAAGCTGTAGATCTCTTCTCGGGCCAGACATAACACGGATTGGTCGTCAAACTCCACCTATAAACAAACTGTTTCAGCAATCCAACACATACATTCTCCCATTAGCTTGTCAACAACCCTTATCATGGGCGATGGAGGTAACTATGGTATTTTATAGGTGAAATCACAAAATTTGCATTAACTTTTGAACCACAATTCTTACAGCATTGGGGGTTATGGTTATACCATTGTATTCAGAGTTAAATTGTGTCAAATTGTGTCAAATTTTAATCAAAGTCGTAAAGGCCAGTTTTTATTAAGTCTGGTTTTTCTGTCATTTTATGGGTTTTATGAAAAAGAATCACCATTAAAAACAAAATTTTGAAAAAAGAAAAAAATTCTGGAGATAACATGGATTAGCATGCACATACTAAATTTCATTAAAATCAGACTGAAGGTGTAGTCTGTAGCTTAGTACATATCCACACAAACATCACTTCTAAAACCACTTTTTTTAAATAAGGGGGACCTAAAACGGGCAAATCCACCAAAAACTCAAACATTCATCATTCATTCATTTATTCAACACAAGATAACATGCTTAAGTTTAAATTTCCTAATTTAAAAACCTCAACAAAATTTTAAAAGTTTTTTAGGACATAATGTAGGATTTTACGATATCAATTTGGCAAAAGATTGTAGCCCCGCAGTATTTGAAAAAATGCCTAAATCTTCATTACGTGATTTAGTCAAGGTCATTGCCTTCCAGTCTTGCCACTTCCCCATCGGCAGGATACTTAGGTTGCCTCCTCGCTTAATTCTCTATTTTTTACGGTTTTAAACATCACAACCACTACGTCGACACCACACAAAGTCTACAAATCTGGAAATAGCAATGATGTAGTATTTTAGGTTTAAATTGTCTTAAGTTTACCCTCACTCACCCTGTACATAATCCTAGTATCGGAGCCCTGGTATACTGCGTCATAATACTCTTGGCCGTTCCATCGCAACCTCATCTGCATTCCTGGAACAGGGTCTTCCTCGCCACCCTCGTGATTCTTCTGCAGACAATATATTGAATAATAAAATGAGCAAATTTTGGATGTCTTATCAAAGTACGAGTAAATTATTCAAAATAATATTCACTTTCAGAATAGAACACAACTAATTTTTCAGGAAGATGAAAAAACCACAATAAGGCAAAAAGAAAAAATAAGGTACCCTGACAGTTAAAACTAGGAGTCAAATTTAGGAATTACAAACCTCAAAACTGAACTAAAATTCTAAAATAGCAAGGCCCAAATTTTGAATACAAGTGTTATAAAATTTAAAAAAATAATAAAAATGCCTTGAAAATCAATTTTAACAATTATTAACTTAATTACAAATTAGTTTAAACAAAACTTATGTTTTATTTTTAAAACTCAAAATCATAGTAACATAGTGATTGATTATCACTCCTTCATTGTAAATAACATCTAAAGATTCCTGTTCCACAAAAATAGTGATAAAATTTTCTTAAATTAAGTTTTGGTACTTAAAAATCAATATTTTTTTTGTCTTAAGACAAATTATGATCTAGATACAACCCTTGAAACCAGCCGATTGGAATTTCTAATCCAATTTTTTTTGCTTGAAATTCAACAGATTCAAAATTTGTATTTGACAAATTAGTTGAAACTTAGTATAAAACAGTGACTCACGATGACTAGAGATGGATGCAGTCTGTCTGTAAAGGAACCGTCGGGGAAGGATACCAAGTAGAAGAGAGTGCGAGCGACGTCGACCACTCTGCCACGGTAGTACCGGTGATTCTCATGACGAGCCCACACCCACTGTCCCACACCTACACCACACATCTGTAACAAACACACTCGGGGGGTTAAATACGTTGATCATTCAGTGTTTGCACCTATTTACTCAAATTAGATGTTATCTAATGAATAAAACGCTTAGAAAATACAATTAGTTTTGAGAACACTATAATATTGTGGTATAATTACCTCGTCAAGTAATCCAATGTTTTGATGTTAGGTTAATAACCTACATGTTTCACCATTAATATGGCATCGTCAGGGTACAAACACAGAAAGACATTACTGTCACACGCACACAATAAATAAATAAAACCAAACGAAACATTTAGATAGGCCTATCACACGACGCGGACGGTCCCGGCGCAGGTAGTAGACTCAAACTGTAATGAGAACAGTCTAATTTACCTACAAGTTAATTTCTACTATGGAATAAGCTATTACAAACACGTAAACCTACATTTATTCCAACAAGTTTGCGAACCAGCATGATCAGACTATGGCAAATGGGTTTCAGGGGGTAAACGTTAGTTTTTCCCATTTACACTCAAAACATATCACTAAACAAAGATAACAACAATAAAGTATTTGTGATCGCAGAACGTGATGATGTCCCCACGAGTTTGAAAGATGTTAAATATTTGGGAAATGATCATGATATTACCGCAATAAAATTGTTACTTACCATGTGCTTTATTTTTAACCTTTTTCACACCTCTTTAGACAAGATAAGTTCTTATAGGAGGAACTGATGTTGGCGGAAGAACCGAAATGTGCATAATCCAGTCAGGACGTGTACCGTAATGTGACAACATGTAATTTAACCTTTTTATATGTCCATTTCCTTACCTTGTCGTGCCTGTGATTACTGTTGTGCCCCTGGCAGTTGATGAGGAACCGGCTGCCAGCCATGGCGCTGTTGACTCGTATCTTGGCACCACGGTAGACGGCACATGGTACATGGTACCACACACCACAGTTGCCTTCACAACACCGGGAGTACACCTGGCCCATCTGGCACACGGCACACTGCAATACAAATACAGTGAGTGGCAGTGCCAAGTACAAAATAATAGTTTTGCTCTTGCATTTTAACCAAAAACCTTTGTGTCAAACAAAACAAAAGCACATTCATTTATGAGATATGGTAAGCAAAAGGTACGTTGACATGTGGTATGGTACGTTGACATGTGGTATGAAAACTAGTTATTACTAAAATCAAATATTTGGCAAAGATGGCTTTGGGTCAGTGTGGTGGACAGGAAGAACGGCAGACTTGCCCTACTCATGAAAAGTAGCACAAGAACAAAGACTGAAGAAGAAACTAGTACAGAAAATTCTATGCTTCATCTTCATGTGTTGTTTATATGTACTGTACTTAAAACTATTTTCATTAGTAAAGTAAGCCTTCTATCCATCCAATCCAAACTAATAAAAATAACGTTTATATGCTGTATTTTTATTTCAGGATTAGTTTTGCCAACAGTGTCATTTGGAGGCTTCTGATTGGCTGTGGGAACATCATTACCGAAACGATACGATAGGACGACATTGGCCTCCAGAGGTCTTCTGGATAGCGTGTCGGGGTGATAATCTGAAGGTGCCGGGTTCGAATCCCGCTGGTAGCACTAACTTTTTGTTAACATTTTTTCATTATCAGCAAGTTTGGTTTTTTTGGTTAGATTATGACGGTTTAATTTTATAATTAAAACATTATAAAATTATATTTAGGCCATTTATAGTTTTATTTTATGAACAGAACTATTTGTCCGACTAAACCTTCATTCAATTTTTTCATTATCAGCAAGTTTGGTTAGTTTGGTTAGGTTATGACAGTTTAATTTTATAATAAAAAAAAAATTCAAATTGAATTTGAGGCATTTATAGATATAGATTTCATGAACAGAACTTTTTTCGATTAGTAAACCTTCATTTGATTTTTTCATTATCAGCAAGTTTGGTTAGTTTGGTTAGGTTATGACAGTTTGATTTTATAATTTAAACATTATAAAATTTAATTTGAGGCATTTATAATTTTATTTTATGAACAGAACTATTTTTTCGATTAGTAAACCTTCATTAATTATAAAGGTCTTAAATAATTGAATTTAATTGAATTGAATTGAATTATAGTCAATCAGAAGCCTCCAAATGACACTGTCGGCAAAACTAAACCTGAAATAAAAATTGTGCATACCCATGCAATGAATACAATGGTATTTCAACCAAATGTAAACAGTATACTCCTTTTAAAATTAAATATGAAAGGCTGGAGTATCGTGTGGTCAAAAATCACCTGTCACATTTCCTCATTAGAGAGTCTAGAAAGTAAAAAAAAAATGCAAAATAAATCTTAACTTAAAGTTAGACAAAAAATAACTAAGTTCTGGTGAAATAATAAAACTTGTACCAATCAATTCACTCACCAAATGATAAGTGGCAAAGTTGGAGAGTTCTATGACGTCTCCGTTATTACTCTTGCAGATGTTGAGGAACTTAGCATCTGGCATGAAGAGAGCGCAGACGACGTGAACCCAACGAGAGTCTGTAGTTCTTCGCAAAGCTCCGCCGCGGATGGGACACAGGCAGCACCTCTAAGTGGTGTAAATACAAATTAGGAAAATTCTAACGTTATTCTACTGTAATTTTACCTTCCTATTTTCGTTCAAAGATGGTTAAACTGTTAAAATAACTTGAATATTTTACAATGAGAATGGCACAATGTTAAAAATTTTAAGCTAAGTGTGCATAGAGGAGTAGTTTAATATAGAGTGAGTGATATTCCTTGTTTAGCTTTGTTCAGTAACTAGAGCTAAGCTAATTCAGTCGGGTTGAGTTGAGAACAATCAAGAAGGTACTGACTTTTCTCAAGAATGAACAGGCTGCCTTCTGAACACAAAAACGATTCAGGTAACTATTTTTCCTAATTTAAGAAACTAATTGAAGATAGAGTAGAAGAATAAGACTCTCATGGGGATTGTTGAATGCATCTTGTTATCAAGGATTGCAATTAAATTGTGTAGAGCTACTAGTTGCAGCACTAATTAGTTGCTGAATACAATTCAAGGCATTTACCTTAGCAGGTATTAACAACATTTTCAATGATTTTTTATGCAATCTGAACCTGTAAGCTTTGTAAAGTATAAAAAAAAACCTACATCCTTACTACATCCTTACTTTCCTTGATAAAACAATATGAAAATGAATCTTACTGCAAAAGACTCGTTGGCCTTGCACTTATCACACAGCCAGTCTCCAATGGGTGATGGAGTGACGTAGCAGGTTGTGTGCACACATAACGCACACGACGCACACACTACCAGTGGCGCATTGTGTGGCGCTTGTCTACTGCACTGAGTGTACGTGGGCATCATCACCTGCAATGTAAACAGAAATATTAAACTTTTTATGTAAACATATACCTAATTATTTACTAAGGACCTGGACAATTTTTTGGGTATATATATTTCTTGTTTAGAATTTTTCTAAATTGTTAGTCAGTTCTCAGAATTCTATTTTATAATAAAAAATCTTTTTTTTTGTTATTTAAGCTAGCAATACAAAATTTTCAAAGATAAAGAGATTTTTGCTTTGAAATAAATGTCCTGGTAAAATATAGTAGAAAAAAAGTGGTAGAGAGAGAATATGGTAAGAAAATATCTGCTCCTGAGAGAACTGTAGCACAAGAATTTTACGTCAATTACACAAATAGTTAAGCCTATTTCAATCACAGATACTCAAATTTATTAATTGAATTAGCCTACCTGACTTTCCGAAGGCAACTCCTGACTCCATTCTCGAGTAGTCCAGTCTTTAACTGTGAATTTGCCGCCCCACTGTAAAAAAATATTGCAAATAATTTGGAGTACTAAATGGAAATACTAGATTAGATTTATAAAAAAAACTCTGGGTGCAAATAAACAAAAGAATGAAGAATGAATGTTAAATGAATGAAAAGACAGTTACAGATCAACAAGTAGGATAAGAATTCTGTTTTGAAATGCAACAAATATTGAGACAGTAATAGTAATTTGAACAATTTGTATTAAGTGTTGCTTCTGAATATTGTCATTACTGTTCAATCTTCATACGTACTTGTTCACTTTAGTGTTTCACAAAGCGCAAAAGGTCGAGTGAACAATGTCAAGAGACTCAAACCTTTTTATAAGACAGCAAAAATTTAAAAAATGTTTCATCGATAATTAATTGTCAACATACTTAAATTGAAGAATATTCATTCTAAGCTAATTTCAAGTGGAACCTTGATAAGACTCTTATGGGGACTTAATAAGATTTGTTATCAAGGTTGACTTCTTATCGAGGTTTACAATAACTTGTGATTAGGGGTAAAGTAATTTCTAGGTGATTTGAAAAGGACACTTGCTATAAAGGGCTACTTGTTATTGAGGGTCCACTGTAAGGCGGCTCCAGACATGCGCCATTCGCCAAGCACTGAACAGCGACTCGCTGAATCGCGAGTAGTGTGGATAGGCGTTTGTCTATTTGTCAAGCAGCAAACATTTGTGCTTATGTTTTCCCATTCATTGTCGGTATTTTTGCACAGATCAAAGTACAAATTTTTGCTATTACCGAAACAAACAGTTGCTCAGAAAACTACACATTTGTGTAAGCGAGCACTCGTTAATCAGCGAATAGCAAAGCAACTAGGTTGCCGAAAATGAAATATTTCGTGTTTGGTGAATGGCGCATGTCTGGAGCCGCCTTTAGAGAGCACACAATAGATTACAAATGAATTATACATTCAGCTAAAACAGTTTTTTTTGTTTTTTATTAGACAAATAACAACAGTAAACTGAACATGGGCTGAACAGAAACATTACGTAATAGTCTTTATCAGCTGATCCTTGAAGATTATAGCATGGACTATCGGATAATCAAAGATTTTAGTTTTGATAGGTCGCAAACCTACCTTATCCGCAGTGAAGAGTACACACAGGGAGCAATGTGGGGCCGCATGGCTGTTGTATCGGTTGATTGTTCGTTCCAGCTCTAAGTCACAATTACTGGCACTCATCAGTTTAAGATGAAACTCTGTAAACATAAATATAATATTAAAGATATTCTTGTCCGAATAATCGAGTGGTTATCGGGACTAGTTGCTACAAAGTAGAAATCCCATCTTCAGAATACGGACTAGCTGTAACCAATTTTTTTGTTAAAAACAAGAGAGCCACTCACTGAATGTGCTACCTTTGACTATTGATACAACTAAACAATCCATCCCCAAGTTTAAGTCAGTTTATTAATCAAAATCACCACAGTTGATGTGAGCCACTGACCATAGCTGGGTAGTCATTCTGTGACTGGCTCTCACAACTATGTTCTTTTTAAATAAAAGATTGGCAACAGCTGGTCCATGTAGATGGGATGTCTACTTTAGTATCTAGTAGTCAATGGCACATTCTTAAGTTTTATTTTTCCCCTGGTTTTTGTTACTGAGATAATGGCATCAAACATGCTATAGCTTACAATAAGTCATAAAATCAATAATTTAAGTTGCTTAAGATTTTTTTTCTTAGAAATTTGTTACAAAATGGAGATAAGTAATGCTAAATTTTGATATATAGTACATCAAGAAAAATGTCCAGGTATTAACAAAAATAAGTTGATTTAGATGTTCAAAGTTTGAATAATAATTGTACATTCAAACTACCCCTGGACCTATAATTGACTCGACGGTAAATTGTACACTTACGTTCATTATCACTACAGTTTTGACTAGAAGTCCAATCTTGGTCTGCTCTCATCAACGTTGGAGGAGATCGATCTGAACCTGAAAATTATTTAAATATTTGGATAACATTGGAAATTTAACCATTTGATCGATAACAAACATTTTTTTAAACCCAATATCTATATAAGAACATTAGCTGAGAGGCTGATTTTTTATAATGATTGGTTAAAATTGGTTTGTTTCAATAAGTTATTTAAATTTATAGTCATGTGTTTTTATTGTCTTAAAAATGTAATCTTGTTGTTTTGAGTTGTGTAGAAGACAGGCTCAATTTATTTTCTTGTAATCAATCCCATATGTATGTGGGACGTTAATCCACACTAGGGAGCATTGCATCTACAGATCATACCTAGAAATATCCACAATGTATGACCTCCAAGTAGCTGGATTACAGGACGATGCCACCGTCCCAGTCAAGTTGGTTAGTCTATGGTATCTTTTTACAAATTTGTATTTATTTATTAGGTTAATGTTCCATTTTTTTTGTTTAAAATACCAATTTTTTCAGTTTCAAATTTTGAGATCAAAATTTATGAGATTTTACTGAATCCATTAGTTAGGATCTGGGTTTTGTTAAATTAAAAACAACCTGCTGTCTAACAGGTGGGTTTGTTAAACTGTTAATAAAATCTTTTGCATGTGTTTGAACTTTAAATTATAACAAAACATTTCTATCAGCTGTTTTTAACAATACAACTAACTGTCAAATCGGTTCTTTAAATACAAATTTACATTATTGTATTAGAGAATACAGAACAAAAATTAAAATTGTGTAAATACTTCCCAATGATTGGTCTTTAAAATGAACAAAACCAATAGCATTAGCGCCAAATTGAATCTTCTTCAGGCTGTACGAAGATTTGTGTTTATTGCATCTGCTAAATATCGCAACATTTAAAATATTAAAAAAACTATTACATTGTACATACAGAAAGGGGTACATTGAAAGGGGTCTGTGGGGTACATTGTTGTACACACAGAAAGAAACATGATAGGGATAACAATTTTTTTAATTGTTTGTTTTTCACAAACCTGGCAGAAGTTAAGTCTTCAGCAGAAGCTTTACTACATTAATAGACATGTGTCCAAGTACAGTCTGAAGGTATTAATTCAGTGTAAAGTTCAATAAAGGAGTTAATGCAAATGTACAAATCATTCAATTCAATTTTGTTGTGCCACTACTTTTGTCCTCAGCAAAATTATACATTAAACCATCTAAGATGCAAATTTCCTACAAAGTTTAGTTGACAAAAACATAACAACATGTAAGGGAGCAATGTTTTCACCACACTACGATGTTTTTAGCTGTTTTACAAACGTTAATTGGAGGCTGAATCTACGTATTGCTGTCCATGCCAGCTGTCATCATAATTTGAGGGCCGAACAGGATTTTTACATCCCTAGGGCCAAAAATCAGATTTTCACTTATATTAATGCATATTAAAACTTGTTTTATTGTCACCGCTCCCTAGAAACATTTTATTATTATTTTTGCTGATTCCTCAAAATATTTCCCACATAATCTTAAAGGTATAGTTGTGTTGACTATAAGTGTTAATTATTATTCTGGGGAATAGTGGTAATATGGTATAGTGTGGTGAAAAATATTGTTCGTACCACGGACCGAAATGGTTTTGCAGCTCTGGATTGTTTTAAGTTCTCAACTTCATCTTGAACTTCAAAACTATCTCGAACTGGCAAAACCTCATTTTCAGCCCTAAATACGAAATATAGGCTACTATGCTACCATTCAAGTGTCTGTAGCCAAAATACCATAGGATTTTCACAGATTATGCTTTGTTTCTTGGTAACCAATACAAACTAAGTGGCCAACTTAGTGGAAAACTGGAGTATTTTTGTGTCCTTGTGAAGAAAATGATCTTTGACAGCATAACCTACGAGATGTTTGCTTTGTATTTTCTTCTTGAGTTCTTGGTGGGAAACTTAATACTAAAAACCAAAACATGTAAAAACAAAGTTAAATAGCCTGATGACTAGTAACACATCCTGTTAAAGACTACACTCTTTTTGAACGGCAAAATTTCAAGAAACCTCTCTGAAGAATAACTTGAATACAAAAACTATTATTGCCATCCACCAGCTTTTTATCTGTAAAAAAACTCAGAATAAAGTTAGGTGATTTTTTACAAATTTATGGTTTTCTTTTCCCTTGGTATTTATACTTCCATAACATGCATACGATCCTACTAATAAAAATACATTAGAGTCAAAAATCCGAACGTCAACAATTCGAAACGTAAAAAATCCGAACCGCTCCTGAGGGTTTTAAAAGATTGAATTAGCACAGAGACAACAGATGTTTTACAATTTCAGTCAGCGCCTGGCAGGAAAATGAGTGAACCCGCCGAGCCAGGTTGTGTTTTGTTGGTTTCCAATGTATAAGCTCTACATATTTTTTCAAGAAACAAATTACAGTTATATAACGGAAATATCTAAGTACAAAAATCATTATTTTTATTTCATTCACTGTATCCTAGAACTGTATTTTTAATACTGTAGGCCTAATTATGTGTCTATTAGGCATTTCTAGGCTATGTTTGAAAATCCTAACAAATCGGTAATCTGAACTACCTACAGTCCCAATTGGTTTGGATTTTTGACTCTCTACTGTAATCGAAAGAAAAACCATAGCATCAGCCACCTTGGATCTTGCGGTTAAATTTTTCTAAGAGGTTTCCCTTCATACTTATTACAATTACAATAATAATCAAAAAATGCTTATAATAATCATAAAGTTTTAGATAAAGTGTTTAAGCTTTTCAATGTTTCTTATATTGAATTTTTAAATGAAACTGTGATTTTTGCTACCTGCCGTACTTGAAATAATTTAAAATGCAGGTTCAGGTTCCAACACAATTTTATTTGAAGACTTTTACTGGTGCATATTTAGAGATTAACTGGAACCAATAAGTTATGATTCACATGTTCATTGTTTGTCATTCTTGAGAAACCAGGTGTCCCGTATATATTCTAACAAGCTTTGATACATGTTACTAGGGTAATGTAAAGTACTTTTTGGGGGTATTTTTTAATTCATGCCCACCCACAAATAGGGGTTGCTGGGGGAAACTTGCTTTTAAATAGTAACCCCTATCAAGTAGCACATCATTTTAATGGCCATTAGTTTAAAAGAATATCGCCGGTAAACAAAGGTCTGTATCTCAACCCATTCATTGCAGAATGGCGGTGATTTTTCATTTTTTTCTATCCCCCTATCTCTTTCCAATGCAAAATGGCGTCAGTTTTAATATTCATCAACCTCAGAGACCCCATAAAAATACATTATAATACCCAATATTAACATTTTATCAGGTTATACCAGGAAAGTTTATCCCTTCATAAGAAAAACAGTGTTTATTTTAGTTGGCAATTGGCATCACAATTTCCCCTGGGAACAAAAAATGAAGCATATTAAGGCAGCTCAAAAATGTTAAATGTAATGCCAGAAAACTAAAAACTGTTTTAAATAAAGAAAGAAAATATAATTGATTAATAGTTGTTAAACTTTATTATTAACTGTATTATTTATTATAAAACAATCATACACATGATTTAATTAATTATAAACCATGTGATTGGAAATAGACATTGAGCAAGTTAGTTTCTTTCAATAAACTGTCGCCATTTTGTATTGGGTTGAGATAGGGACCTCTGGTTTTCATCACCTTAGTTTTAGTCTAGCTTAGTTTAGTTTAGTCACTCTAGGGACCTCTAGTTTTAACTACGCATGTACCTTGGTTAGTTGGAAGCTATATGCTGTTTTTTAGTGTGCCCTGTATTGATAATTCACTTTAAAAAAACTGCATGTAAAAGTTAAAGTATTCAATTTATTTATAAAATAACTTGAAGAAAATTCACAGTGCAATAAACAAATAGTACTAAATAAAATAAAATCAACTTGATATTTAAATAAAGTTCACAATATGCACAGTCAATTACAAATAAATCTGACATACTACACACTAAGAATAAAGCAAAGTTAAATAAATTGTAAGTTTATTTACATGCTGAGCAAAGTTGAATGAGTACAAGTTTATTTACATGTGAAGCAAAGTTGGAATAAGTACATGTTTATTTACATGCTGAAGCAAAGTTGGATAAGTTTTAAGGGTATTTACATGCTCTGTACTCACAGGTGGGTGAGCTCTGGACACTGTGCCAAGAGTTGTGCAAGCTGTCAAAGCTGGTGTCACTCCTGACTGAGTGAGGTTGGTGGTTCTCCAGTTTCGGCAGTCGCTGACACTGGTACGGCACATCGTACTGCTCCACTGTCTCCACGCGACAGGCACTCGTCTCCGATATCACCGTAGCGTGGTCCATATTGTACGTCAACCTATCCGTCTCCCCAGCTTGATGTTGATTCCCGTAATATCCGTCTGTAAACGTCCTGTTAGGCGACGCCACTTCACCCTCGTCACTGTCTTTACCGTTGGATTTGTTCGACATCTTGACGCGGATCACTCGCTGTTGATTCGAGTTCTGAATGCGCATCTGAACAGGTTTCCCTCCGATGCTGATGCTACTCATGTTGATAGTTTTAATCACCGGCGTTGTAAGCAGCTTGCCTCGGAAGTGCTGAGGAGAACTGCCCTCTGACTGAGGGGAACTGTTCGGTGTATTCAGAGCTCGGATCACAACCGGAGAGTGTAGAGGGGAGTTTCCTTTTCCTGGTGTAACTCTACCTGACACGGTCACTAATAACGGCTTCTTGTACGTAATGTGGTTCTGGTTGACACTGACCAAGCTGTTTGCTGAAGGACTTTGTACTTGAACTTCGGGTGATGTCTGGTACTGATTGGGTTGTTGACACTGAGTTGTTTGAGGCATCTGGTTGTGATTTGAGTTTGTCGGAATCAAAGGTCGGTTCATTACCGGATCTCCCTGCACCGGATGTTGGTTTTGAATTGGTGAACGATTCATCAGGTGATTTTGCATTTGACACGACTGATTTTCCTGCGGTGACCTATTCATTTGACTCATATGACTAGGCGAAAGCATATTAGTCGGGGAAGGGCTTTGCATCTGATTTTGAACCGGTGACGGTGTAATGGAATTAGACATTTGCACCATGCTTTGAATTGGAGATCGACTCATTATTGATTGGTTGATTGGGGAAGGAGCCTGCAATTGATTTTGACTGGGTGATCTCATTGGATCGTACTGGTTGTGACTTTGACCCGCATTGGACACCGGTGATCTCATTGGATCGTACTGGTTGTGACTTTGACCCGCATTGGACACCGGTGATCTCATTGGATCGTACTGGTTGTGACTTTGACCCGCATTGGACATCGGTGATCTCATAGGCTCGTACTGGTTGTGACTTTGACTCGCATTGGACACCGGTGATCTCATTGGATCGTACTGGTTGTGACTTTGACTCGCATTAGACACCGGTGATCTCATCGGATCATACTGGTTGTGACTATGACCCGCATTAGACACCGGCGATCTCATGGATTGGTTGTACATCTGGTTTTGCATCGAATATTGGTTCATATTCTGATTCTGCATGTAAGGTGGGTTCTGTTGCATCTGCATGTGCATGGTCTGCTGCTGATACATCTGATGAGGGTATGGCTGGCTCTGGTATTGCTGGTTACTGTACTGCTGAGGCGGTTGCATGTACTGCTGCTGCCCAGGAGAAAGAAACGATGATGAATAAGAATGTTCTGGAGGGGGAGGGAAGTACTTTTTCTCAGTCTCCATTTCTGGACTTGTTAATCTCAGTGGATCGTTGTGGTGTTGGTAATGATCGACATTGGGCATCATCGCAGGATTGTTGTTGACCCTTTGATCATTTGGAACCATTAAAATTCCTGTTGTTCCACCGTTACCGTCAGAACCTTTAACCTCTTTGGGTTTCCTCTTTCGCCTTACTTTTACTTTGTTTTCTTCTTTTGGTTCTTTAACTTTTTTAACTTTGTTTTTAGACCCAGGCGGTCTTCCCCTCCTTTTATGAACAAAGTTCACAAACTGTTGCATAAACTGTTCTTGTTTCTTAATATCAGGTACAGGAAGAGCCCCTGGTTTTTGGGGAGTCTGTGAAAAACTGTTCAACATATCTTCAACATCAGTTTTAGCCTCACTTTCACTTCCATTGTATTTGCTCTCGTTTTCACTTCCACTATTATTTTTCACTTCAGTTTCGCTTTTATCCAAGAACTTGCTTTCGTTTTCACTGGCATTGGGATTGTTATCACTGTCTGAAATTTCTTTTTTCACCTCTTCCACTTTGACGTCTTCTAATTTAATTTTTCTAGGCCTTCCTCCTTTCTTCTTAGGAGTCAGATTTTCAAGCCCTTTAAGTAATTTCTTCTTTCTTCTTGTATGCTTTTTTTCCTCGTCGTCATCGTCATCATCAGAATCTCTTTTCTTTTTCTTTTTTCCTTTTCTCTTTAGAGAGTTTTTAGAACCTTCGTCTGGTATCATGGCGTCTTCCATTTCTAAAAAGAAAAACAATCATGATTAAATTAACTTTGTAATGTTTCCATACAATTTTTGTAGCAACTCTAAGAATCTAACGTTATGAATTTTGATTATGGAAACCTAACAGTTAACCTCAACTTAACATATTGACTACAGTTGAGCCCTGATAATCCGAACTACGGTAGGTAATCCGAAAGTCCATTTAATCCAAACCCAAATTTTTTTTATCATAATTTAATTTTAATTTTCATAAAAAAATTTTTAGATTTTTTTAACGTTTTTAGATTTTTTAAAAGAAGTTTTGGATTTTTCTTAAAAAGTTTTTTGATTTTTGAAAACACTTTTTTTTATTTTCATTTTCGCCCTGTGTTCCAATTCCTAGGTCTTGCATAAAATAATGAGAAAGACAATCCCGGGCTCAGGCCTAGCATCCTAGGACAAAAAAAAAATAAAAACATTAAAATAATCCTTTAAATAAAAAAAAATTAAAACTAAAAACCGTTTAATCCGAAATATTTGGTCATCCGAAATGGGTCCGGTCCCAACCATTTCGGACTATCGGGACTCAACTGTATTTGTCAAATTTATTTTACTTAGTTTTATAACTTAAGAACAAATTCATGTCATGAAGAATTATAATTTACTGGCTGTCCACAAATACTGAATGAATTCATATAGATTTATTTTTGGTAAAAGCAGCTATGGCGGGCTTCTAAATGTTGTTTCACAGCTATTTTTTAAGTTTTATATAAACATATTAGTAAATTCACAATTCTTTACACATGTACAAGACTGTTACTTTTTAATTTCCAAATGCACACTTGGTGATTTCAATGCATGGTGGTACTACTATTTAATCTTCATAAACTTCATTTTGGATTCAGCATGACAAAATCACAAGCTAAATGATAAAATATTACAAAATGAAATGATACCCAAAACCCAAAAGTTTGCACAAACCCGTTTTTTCAAGACATACTTACAAGAAAATTTTTTAATATGAAATGATCCATTGTCTTTAAGACCCATTACAAAATGCTCATCTTTGATAAATCTACTAAATTGTAGGGTTACACACCTACAAACCTGCAGTATTATTTCCATCGCTAAATAAGTAGGCCTATCTCTCATTACATTCAAGCCATTAAGGAGGAGCTAAGTAGTTACGTAACTTACATTTAGTAGTAATGTATTAAAAAATAAATTTTTGCTCCATTGCCCATTGCACAGGTTTAAATACCTGTGGTAAAAATGCTAAGTATAAGTATTTAATTTTTACTTTTTATTCCGACCTAAAATTGATCTCTAAACAATTCAGACTAAAGTTGTAAAGTATAGTTTTCTTTCAATTAAGCATGATCATTATTCAAAATATTGAGTTCCCTGAATACACCTTGTGTTAATTACTAATCATACTGTTGTTTATTTATTTTTTTTTTATCCACTATATAACTGAATTTGTTGTTCACTCTCTATACCACACATTTTAATGCTTTAACAATCCAAAAAATGTAGTTAATGAGCAACCATCATACTTCAATAGTTACTGACTAGGAAGTCATAAGACTAAAGCATTACTGATTAAAAACTATAAGGCAAATGGTGTTAGTGGTGCAAAAAACGTTTAGTGAAGTCAGATAAGTTCACTCACTAATTTAAGATCATCATATAAAGAAAACAAAACTAGTTTGCAATAAATTTTAATAAACAAACAAGTAACAGATAAAGTGGTGACTTGAAAGCGTTATGAAGCAAAAAACCTCAACCAAGCAAAAGTAAACAAATTTTATATTAAAGATATTCCTACTTGTACAGTTGATACTTGAACATTAACTCAAGAGGTTTTTCTACTTGTTATTGCTTGAAATGAAACAAATCATATACAACTTTTTACCTTCTAAGCCCCCATTTAAAGTTTGGTTTTGAGCCTATCAAACTCCACAAAACCTAGTTTTTAAATTATTAGTCGAAGATAGTTTTGAACATACCGATTTTCTTCCTGCACAATGCGGCCGCAATAGCTCTGCGATCTACAAAACAATATGTGACGACCGAAAATCAGAACAAAGTATAACAACAAAGAATAAGTAAATTAAAATTTAAGGCAACATAGTTTATACACCCAAAGCAACCATATTAAACAGGAAAAAATGAAGAGATAGAAGTTTTAATAAGCGTCTACAATTTTATATTGACTCAGAATAGGTATGAGAAGAAAATCAAAAACTTGGGTTGTCTTCTCACTACGCCGAGCAGACATTACTGTAAGAACTGTCTTTTTCAATTGTCAATTCCAAAAGTATAGTCGTGAAGGCTTAAATTTAAATATGGATGATAGCAGGGGTGTTCAGTGTTCATAGGTAGACAAAACTCACAGATGGGATAATCATACACAGTGTATAATACAAAAAATGTTTTCGGGGTTAACTTATGTGTTTTAAGACGTATATCACTATTTTGTAACCGGGACTCACTAAAATCAATATATTTTGTGCAATAACATAATCATTTGTCCTACGGTCTGGCAATGCAAAGAGAAACATCCAAACACAAATTTATAACAAATATAATTTAGATAGTTCTTAAACTGCGAAAAAAGGCCCTAAGAAAAATACTAAATTTAGACAATAAATAACCATGAAAGATTTCCGGTATAAGTAACCGGAAGAAAGTATATCCGGTTTAAATCAGATATACTGACTGTTTGCGCTAAATATATGTGTGGTGGAAAAAACTTGTCCTTCGACAAATAAGCAAAGAAAAGAAAAAGAATAAGTTATTTTTATGTAGTAAAAGATGCCAAAATTTATGGATTCTTAATATCAATATCAATACCTGAAATATCTATTCTCGATACCGATACCATTTTTGTATAGTTTAACCAAATTACTGAATGGATCGGTTATCCTACAACCACCCCTGTATTTATGTCCATGAAGTATTTTGGATAAAATAGGATATTTTTCAAGTAAAGAAAAAAATAATGCAGCAATTAAAATATTCTAAACAGTCAATTTAAGTTAAATCCCTTCTAAAAACATAAAATAGCTACCATATTAAAAGCAAATGAAGATCCAACAACAAAATTTGTTAAATTGTTTTACAAGAAAGAATGTTTAGGCTCCAAGGACAGAAAAATTTAACACTACAAAACATATGTTTCTCTTGAAATCATTCTAAAATTTCTGAAAACTTAGTAGTTCTAACGAGCTGAAACGTATTCAATAGATCTAGACATGTTAATACCAAAGTGATTGTAATTTAAATATCCAGGGCACTATGAGATAATAAGTTCTCTTCATAGTTTTGCAATTGTTTTATGGGTTAGAAAGGCTAGGCTCCAAGGACTCAAAGGCAGAAGCCATGATCGTGACAAAATCCTGAATGTCTCCTGCGTTCGTGTAGACATCATCATCATCTGCATCCACAGAAACTTACAATCGTCCTCCACACTATCATAAGAAGCATGAATTTTTCCATCGTGAAACCTTCGCAGATGCGTTTTGCAATCGCGATAGTAACAGCTTGGCATGATCATCTCATTTTGATATAAATCCAACTATCCCAGGTTTTGGTTAAACGAATGTGGTTCGGTACCAATTTATTCAGATACTTGGGAGTTCTGTAGAATTTTACCCAAGAATGAAATGTTGATAATCAAGGGTAAAAACATCAGCTGTGTTTTGATAGTCACAATCAAGAACAATTAAACTGTTTACACTGAAACCATATCATAGAAAGACAATAAAAAATCAAAACAAGCTCAATAATCAATAGCAATAAACTACCTACAGTACTAATAGAGACAGTGTGCCATGGAAGAAATATAAAGTTAAATTGTTGTTAGTGTAAGGATGGTGTAAAACTCATAGTGACAGTTATTTATTTCCCCCCCCCCCCACTCTTTTTCTGATGTATCAAAAGACCTTCCCAATTAGCCCAGTCAATAAAGTAATAAAAGCGCCATTTGTCGCAACTAATTAGGGGAAAGCTGAATTTTTTATATGTGATAGACCCTTATGGGATGTGTATTTTCTCAAAAGTCCCCGCCTCTCCCCCTTGTGCTTCCCCCCCAATCCACCATTTTAGCCTAAAAATGCAGAGTTTCACTAGATCGCCTATAACTGCCTTAAAATCAATCGTAGCGAATCAATTTTTTTTTATTTTGTTCCTTATTAATTTTTGAACAAGTTTGGTCATTATGCATGTTTCGTTAAAATTAATATTTAAGCCGTTATTAGACAACAAAGACAAAAAAATGTTTTCTTAATTGATTTAAATTTACATTTTTAACGATATTTCCAAAACTAGTTAAAATACACAAAAGTGCTTGGATTAAATATTGTAGTCTGCATTTTGAGCTTTAAAACGGTATAAGTGATTGCATGTTTGTGATTATCGCTTGCGTTTGGAATGTCATCTAAGGTTGGGCTAGCGCGCCGCCCCGCAACGACGACGACGCCTCGTCGACCGACGAAGATTTTACATATGTGAGGTTATACGTTGATAATACAACGACTACAAAGACTGTAATAGTTAATTTATGTAATAGTTTTTCTTCGCTTGGATTGCAAATATATTAAATACAATCGTTACAACGATACATATATTATAACTCTGTATTAATTTATATTGCAAGGTTTCAGAAACAATAATAAATTGTACAAATAAGTTTTTATTGTTTTTGCCGTTCATTGTATATTTTCTACCTTGTATGCCATGAAAGCAATTCGATAAAGGTGTTAAAACTATATATTGCCTGGCAGTTTTGGTTCAGGGGGCGTACCCTACCCTGTGTATAACAAAATAAATAGGGGTTTTCCATTATCCACCTTCTATAGACCCGCCGTGTCCCGGACTGGCCAAACCGGCAACCGTCATATATTGAGCAAATCCTTGAAAATTGTTACGAATATTTTTTTATATTATAATATATGACGGTGTCACGGACCACCCACCCACTACATAACAAATTAATTACAAATGTACAATGTATTGTGATATATATACAATTTATTACACATTTTAAAATATATATACAGCTGATTGAAACATATTACAATGAACCACGTCTATACAACTTTAAACGTTTAGTTTAGTTTTAAGAGCCATCAACTACATCGTCATACTTCGGAGTGTTCAGACATGACAACCCGTTACAATGTTCACACATAGCTGAACAGCTAAACCCAGATTTTCTGCAGCCGCAGTAGTTTCCACATCCAGACTTACACGAGCAAGACACAAGTGAAAGCAGGTCATCAGGAGCAAACTGTTTTTTTGTTGAGACTGGTGTTAAGATTTTTATTTGTTTCCCGTGTTCAATCACATTTTCATGTCTCCATCCCCAAACCGTAGGATCAAGTTGGTTCCCTAACCAAAACTGCACTTGATAATATACCCTTAGTAAATGCTGGTGGCACGCTTCTGAAGTCGGAGAAAGTTTAGCTAAATCAAATTTGGATTTTAGTGTGGATTTCATTGTCAATCTTGTAAATTTTACGTACCGAGCTTCATTTAAGTTGGCGTAGCTTCCAAGTCCATACATATCGAGAACAAATTTTTCTCCATTTTCCACTAGGTCAGCTACAGCAACATCTGTTTGAAGAAAAATCTCTGCTATCTTTTTAGATTCTGCACTGGTCTTAATCATTTCAACAGCTCTTGTCTTTCCAAGCCCATAGAAGGATGACGTGGTATCGCAACCACTTATTGCGTGGGCAAATAGCAAGCACTTCCTATTATCTTTGTACATCTTAACAGCCTTCTCTATACTGTAGAATGTCTTCGAAGGGGCTTTACCACCTACATTTTTACAAAAATAAATTGACTTCCCTTCAGGTGCAAGACTAACTAGAAGGACAAGAAGATCCGTATCTGTTCCAACGACAATCACTTTTGTGGAACCTATGAGCTGCTGAATGCCAGTTTGAACGATGTCAACATCAGCATCCCCTGTTGCTTTCACTGTCTTAAAACCAGATTCATCCAACTCGTGACACAGTTCCTCTATAATTCTTTCTTTGTTCTTCTTATTAGATAGGAAAGCTTCTTTCTTTGTCAAACATTGCGTGTTTCTGTTAAATTCAATGTCGCACGATGAGATGTTAGCTGATCTTCTCCGTTGCTCTTCATCTTTGGTAGATGGTTCGTCCAAATATCCATCGAAAACAATGGTTGAGCTTTTCCCAAATGTAGCATTTACATAACTTGAGTATGATTTGACAATATCACCGTACGTACTTTTAGTTGGCCATACAACAGAATGAAGTAGGTGTCCACCATCAATGACAAATGATGCATTTTCCAAGTCAACTTCATCGAGGACACTTTCGCTAAACACTTTTACCATGGAAGATTTTGTTCCTTTACGAAGGGAAATTTCATCAAAAATAGAAGGAGGTTTTGAAGCCAATTCATAACTTAAATAGTTCTTTAGCTTATAGGGACTATCTGTAATACACAGGATTCTATTAAATAATTGCTGAGAATTGACTGTGACTTGTCTTGATCCAATAGTTGCCAATTTGTGTTTTCCCTGGGTGATTACCATGTCTTTTCTCTTTAGAGTCAAATTTCCAAATGTACATCCTTTCATCTTTTGCATTGATGCTAGGCCAACATCATAAGCACTATCGCAATTCACACTTGTGTCGGAAATAAAGCCTGAAGATAAAGACACGAGTTCTCCTGATAGCTTAGTAAAAGGGTTATGCTGTCGAAGCCACGATGTGAATTTTCCTATATCTAGAACATCCCTACTTTTTCTTGATTCTCGTAGTTCCACATGTTGTTCTGTAAAACTCAAACCTGTTCCAGTGAATTCTTCCAGACTCTCTTGGACTTTTACACAGTAGGGTGTCGCAAGGATCCACTTAGATATAGTGTTGTCGGATACTCCACGACCATGTGTCAACCCTCCTACTGACTTCATGGGTCGCATGAGACATTGCTCAATTATCATGTCCGGCCATGTTCCGGACCAACTTTTGTTGCTTCTTCGTATTGTAAAGTAACCGTTTTCAGTTAG